GCCGCGCCCAGGCCGAGGCCGTGAGCCGCATCGCGCTCAGCTTCCTGGACATGGTCAAGCACTTCGACCAGGACTTCTCCCACCGCCTGCACCTCTGCGACGTCAAGCCCGAGAACTTCGCCATCAGGGCGGACCTCACAGTAAGTGGGGCCCGCGGGGTACGGGATGGAGCCCCGAGCTTGGTCCGGTGGCACCGGGGCCGGGGGTTGGGCTCTGAGACCGGGCCTTGGGACGCAGGTCACTCACTCTGCAGCCTGGAGCCTCAGGGCCATGCGTCTGCCAGGACTGGCGGAACATATGCTGCTTTTTAAACAAAAAACAAGGTTTGGGGAACCAGCAGTTAGCGTAATGGCTATGTCGCTGGACTCCCACGTAGTCAATTGCGGTTCGTGTCCCAGACCCGGTGGCTTACAACTCACGCCGGGTGCGTGTTCAGGCGTGCCCAAGATCCCGGGAGGAGAATGGAGGAGAAGGGATTGCGGCGTGACCATCCCCTCTGGGGGGTGATTTCTCGCTTTCTGTCTCTATGTCTCTCTCTGTCTGTCTGGTGAGCGCACGCGCCCTATAGCGAAAACCTCCCCAAAAAAAAATGAATGAATAAATAAAATTAAATAAGTAATTTTATGCTAGAGGGAGAAAGAGAGAGAGAGAGAGAGGAGAGACCCCCCCCAAAGGGTCCTAGTCACCCAGCACTTCCCATTCCTCCATTCAATAGAGACTTTAATTTTTTTTTTTTTCCAGAGTATGCAGGAACTTGTAAGAGAGGGAGCGAGAGGAGAAAGTGCCACCCCTGGGGCACGGCCAGGCAGCAGCTCCATTTCTTCACCCTCCATCCTGGCAGGATGTGGGCACTGTGCATGCCCACTGGACATGATTTTTGTTGTTGTCATCTTTGCTTTTTGCCTTACTGTGTATGTGCTTGTCAGGGACAAAGACAGAAAAAGGGAAAGTGAGAAATAACAAACACTCCCCTCTGTCCCCCCACCAGAGGGCTGGCCAAGTGCAATCCCCTTTCTTCCTAAGATTTTGGGCAGGCACAAGTGCCCTGCTGGTTTTCAACTGCCAGGTCCAGGACTGGAACTGTGTTGGCCGCTTGGAATTCAGCGCCTTAACCACTGCCACCTATGGGCTCCCACCCGGCATGTTTTGTAAGCCACAGTGTGGGAATTCTAACTGTTTGCTCATCCATGTGGCACCAGACTCCCTTAACTAGGCCACAGAGCCCGCCCATTGGGTTTTGGGGTGCACGTGCACACAGCCTGACATGCTTTTTCAGCTGCAGGCTGGGGCTGGGACTACTGGTCGCCGTGGGAGCCCACTCCCTCCACACCGCGCTAACCACTGCACATGGGGCCCCCCAAACGGGCTCACAACCCCTGCCTACACACACACACCAAAGTGTGGGGATTTGAAGGAAGGAACCTCCCTGGAGGCAGAGGACCCAGGCCCAGTCCTCTGCCTGAGGGCCGTTCTGGTTCTCCAGAGCAGCGCAGTAAAAGGTGGGGGTCTCGGGGTCGCTTTAACTGGTGGAGAGTGGGAGACGGCCCTGCAGAAGGCGATGGGGAAGGAGGACTCACAGGGCCTACGCGTCCACTGGCCAGGCTGGGGACACTGCGTTTGGACTGCCCGCCTCTGGGAGGACACGCAGTTTTTAAGGGCGCCTTTACTGCTGGAGTGGTGGGAGTGGTGCTGTTGATAGTTTCCTTCCCACGCATAGGACTCCGGAGGGATGTCGGCCTTTTACTGCTTCTGCGGGAAAATCCTGGGGGCCAGGGCTGGTACTGCGGTGCCTCGGAGGGCAGAGGCTCTGTCTCCCCTCTAGGGTGGTGCAGTTGTGTGAGACACGTGACCCAATGAAGGAAGGGTGGCATGGCATGGCCTCACTGTCACAGACTCACCTCCCTCCACCCCCAGGCTCAAACCATGTCAGGTTATTGCTGCAGTGTGGACCTAGGGTGTCACTTTCCTGGGGTCAGGTGCTGGGACTATCCAACAGGACATGGTGACCAGATGGGCAGTGATAAAGTAGGTGTCGCACTGAGGCAGGGACTGGGCGTGGTCCTCCGTGTGTCCCTGTCCTCCTCACCCCAGGATGCTGGCAGGTGGAGGTGGCTGTGGGGTTTACTCAGGCGGGGTCTGTGCTTTTCATCCTGGCTACCACCTAGAAGCTGCCCTTCCTGCCAGCCATGGCGTCCACACAGGGATGCAGGACTGACAGCACCTCCTTGGAGCATCTGTTGTTGAGGAAGCAAGTGTCTCCAGCATTCGGGCTTCTCTGCTCAGGCATCAGTCCTGTGGGGGCAGCGTTTGACCCTCTCTGCTCAGGCCTCGGTCTCAGGCCTCGGTCGTGTGAGGGGCAGCGTTCACCTTTCCCTGCTCAGGCCTCGGTCCTGTGAGGGGCAGCGTTCGGCCTTCTCTGCTCAGGCCTTGGTCCTATGAGGGGCAGCGTGGCAGCGTTCCCTCACGACTTTGTCCTAATGCTGTGTCCCCAGCTGCCCTGGAGGGACTGACAAACTAGGAGTGACGCAGAGTGTGGAAGGGAAAGAAGATGGGTGTTTCCTGGAGGTTCTGGAAGTTTCCAGAATGTTCTGCAAGGTGGACAGGGTGCTCTGAAGGAGCACAGCCCTGCCTACAGCACCTGGAGCATCAGGCTTCCTCCCAGACAGACCCCAGTTGTGAGAGGGGGTGCTGCGGCCGGGGGCAG